CAGGAGCTAAACCAACGACATTGAAGAACATAATCACAATGTCCCGGATACCATCCTTACCATTTGGTATTGATATACTGGAGCTGTTGTTCATTTTGATGGCGAAGTTTCTGCTGCCAATAAACTAGAGGATAAAAGAGCAACATAAACCATAACAGAAGTGACACAAGTGTAAAGCTGTGGAAGCTATGACTAGCAAAATGTAGTAGTACAGATAAGTATTCTGTGAGAATAAGTTCAGATTCAAAACCCGCTCTCAAAAGTTGGTATAAGTGAGGAAAGGGATAACGGTTCAAATCTTAGCTGGTTCAGGTCTTTTTCAGTGTTGTTTCCTGATATGATGTTTTTCTGAGCAGGGGAAACAAGAATCATCTTTTTGTGTCTGCAAAGTTGCCACCTTAGGAGAACTTGCTTACGACACACAGTTGTTGTAAACGACACGATGCAACCTGGTAATATAATAACTATTTTCAAATAGCTTATTTTGTTAGGCCCGTTTCCAACCTGGATGCAACGCGCGCCTCGACCCAATTTCCTGTAACACGAAGTTCCCCAGATCACTGAAAACCTTCTAAAATCGTCTTTCTCAAGAGTCATCCTGGACATATAGTTAACCATTTTACGGTAAATACATTCACCATTCGTCATTTAACAGTTTCCTTGCAGTATTTCGAATTTTGTCCGATAGAATCCGAAGAAAAATTTTTTTTAGTGTCACGCTTGGATCTCTTCGTACTCTGTGAACAGAGGACAACGTTCGATTTTTTTCACTTTCTAGAAGCGCTTGAGGATTCTAAATGAAGATGAAATATTTTCCAATAGAAATTGGTATTTTTCAAAGAGAAATATGGAGAAATATCAGACTGCCGGACGTTTTGTTATTCGAAGACCGTGTCCGGTAGTGTCCGGTGAAATTTTCTTAGTGTCATGCTTGGATCTCTTCGCACTCTGTGTACAAGTCAGCGAAACAGACAACGTTGGAATTCTTTAACTTTCTAGAAGCACTTAAGGATTGTAAATGAAGGTAGAATATTTTTCAACGAAAAATCGGTATATTTCAAAGAGAAATACGGAGTTATTTGAGGAAACGCAGTAGGTATTTTGAGACAACGTGACACGGTAAAAATAACTGACCAATCAGAGGCGGTATTTAAACAAAAGCGGTGGTTCAAAACAAAAACAAACGACCGCATTGAAGGTTGGAAATGTGTCTTTAAAGACAGTACTTTACTGGAAATAAGGCTTTCACCTCAATTTCCATTTTTCACAAAACTTGATACAAACTTTGCCAAGTGCTGTATCTCTTTATTTCGATTTCATGAAAACTTCCTTTTTCTTACCTTCTCAGTAAATCTTGATAAATGAAAATTAAAATAATTTCTCAGTAGATTTCAAGTGTCCGTGTTATTGTGAGTGCTTCAAGGGATGTGTCCTTCAAAATTTATCGAATATGAAAATATGAAAAGTGTTTTAATTATTGTAAGCCTGGCGGACGGAGTCTAAATGACCAACACTTGCATGTTGGTTAAGGCGCGTTAGAATCTTTGTTCATTAGAAAGCGGCATGGAAAAACCAGTTATTGCTTTTGAGAATTTTCATTTTCTGTCTCTCAGTCCGTAAGGAAGTACTTGTCAGTAAACTATTCATTACAAATTTATTTAATAACCTGTCCTTTACTCGGTAGATTATGAGCTACATTTCTCTGAATATGAATCTTAGTTTTTCCATGTTTCCAACTTTTAACCTATCAAGAAGAAATAAATATCCGAAATATGTCCTTTGCTTCTCTCTCACTTCAATTTGGATCAAACACCTTTTTGCAAAAATGAATTCGTATATAGGAAACCTGTCAGTAGAAAGCTGCACCCGATCATTAGCCCATGCAAATATGAAATGTTCTATCGGAAAGGAGCTGTCCATTTATATCACGCCGCCATGCGCCACAGTGTTAAAAAAAACTACGCCTCTGAAAGTAGATCTGGTTTGATCAAATTGTAGACGTTTTATATACCATAAAGAGATGAATATCACAAATATGACTTTTGCTGCTCCATCACTTCAGTTAAGATCGAACACCTTCTTTCACAGCTATGAATTCGAATATAGAAAGCCAGTTTTAAACAGGCGTTCGAGATCATTCTTTCAAACAGGAACTTTTTCTAAAAAAAAAGCGCTATCCATTCATCCTGTGCTACAACGGACGACACTATTCAAATATTGAGGATGCAAAAACGGAAGTTTGAACGACAGTGTTGATGTATTTGCCTTTCTTTACGCAAATTGTTCGACGCAATGCAGCCTGGCAATATTATAACTATTTTCAAAGAGCTTATTTTGCTTTAAAGACAGCGCTGTGCTTAAAATGAGGCTTTCACTTCAATATCCATTTTTCATAAGATTGGATAAAAAAACTTTGCTAAGTGCCGTGCTTTTTCCTTTATTTCGACTTCCTCTTCCGTATCAGTCTCATTAAATCTTGTGTAGATAAAAATTAAAACCATTTCTCAGTAGATTTCAAGTGTCCGTGTTATTGTGAGTGCT